TAGTAAATGCTATTGTACGATCGGTGCGATGGTCTGAGCAGTACTGTCGAAGGCGAGATCTAAAAAACAGGTCATCGAAATATCGTCGAACATGTCCACACCCACCACCATAGCCACACGGTGCGATTGTCTGAGCAGTACTGTCTAAGGCGATATGTAAAAAACAGGTCATCGAAATATCGTCGAACATGTCCCCCCACCACCACCATAGCCCCACCCCGTTTTCATAGGATGCAGCGAACAAAGAGCCTATGGCCATGATAGAGTATACTGCTGATACCGCAGGATGTATCAAAGATGACGAGATGCTGATATCCTATACCGAGTGATTCACGTGGTACAGCTGGGTACATCTACATCGGCGTTAAGATGATCCGGTGAAAAAGAAAACACGCGGTTGGGGCACGCGCGAGCAGGCGGCGATGTACAGTCTAAGAAAAGCAGTGGAATCATTAAAACGATACAGTCCAAAAATTTACCGAAAGACACCGAAGAAAAAGAAATGGCTCTCTACGACGATGATTTTTTGAAGCATAGACGTATGCAGCGGTCGAAGACACGGGCCCTCTATCGGTACGGGAACCCTGAGTACGATCCAGAGAAAGAGGCCGTACGCGAGTGGTTGAGATTGGGCCATTTGATGGGTGTACCGCTAGTCTCGATATACATGGCGAAACCGGGGGTGCTGGACGCTGATGTGTTATACAATGATAACCCTGACATGATCTGCCGTAAGGGGTGGCCGTCCGGTGTAAGACCCGTGATACTACCCGAATTGTCTATAGCAACGATACTGACTGGAGGACACCGTGATTTTACGCGTTGTAGCGTAACGCTGGGTTTTATCTGCGATCAGCGTTCTAACGATAGTCCTTACGCACAGCGTATATGTACCCATGAGTGGTTGGCGAAAGAGGAATGGCGTATGTCCTACGATGATAGTCCCAAATGCCGTATCATATATCGACGCCCTATGGACAAATCAGAGCTAGCGACATTGAGGAAAAGGTGTAGCAGGCCCACACCGGAGGAATTACCGCACCGTGCACCCATGCGCCTGGAGTCGCAGGCCTGGTTAGCGGCATTCAATCATCTCGAGAGATTACGCGAAAGCTGCGTCACACTGTGGTGCCTGAGAGCCATGCGAGCGTACGAGACAGCACTACGCAGTCTGGAGAAACGATTTAATTTGACAGAGTTTATTGGGTGTGTTACCCTGACGACGCGGGATGGTCCACCGCACCTGAAATATAAGGAATACCGAACAAGCGTGGTCAGTATGCCGGGCGGCCTTTACGCGTACCTAGAGGTACTCGATGATACGTGGGAAACCTATACACCCCACGACGTTTACAACGATGAGGAGGGGGAGTACGCTGAAGAATCGAGTAATTTGGCGTACTATGCAATGGACACGCGAACAGCATCCCGGCGCAACATCAGACACATACGGTGTACGGCAATTTTTCGCAACGAGAGCTGCGAAACACTGCTGCGGGATGACCGGGGCGAAAAAGATATCAGCGTACAGCTGATCGGCGGCGATATCGACGAGTTCGATGTTGTTAAAGACTGGTGTGATCTACTGGCACCAGCTGATTGTAATTGATAAATATAAATAAAGTAAAAAAAAAAAAAACCCATGTACACAGAGTAGTAGTATGATTCGTATCTCTAACCCTACACTACGATGGCAAGATGCTGATGCAACCTCGAACGATGTACGTCAGCAGATTGTTGCAGCTCCCAACGCAATTTTTTTTTTTCCGTATTATGGATACGCCGTATTTCGTGATCGACGAACGAGCGACCAATAATACATCGATGAGGAGGTGGAGTACGCTGAAGGATCGAGTAATTTGGCGTACTACGCGATGGACACACGAACAGCATCCCGGCGCAACATCAGACATATACGGTGTACGGCAATTTTTCGCGACGAGAGCTGCGAAACACTGCTGCGGGATGACCGGGGCGAAAAAGATATCAGCGTACAGCTGATCGGCGGCGATATCGACGAGTTCGATGTTGTTAAAGACTGGTGTGATCTACTGGCACCAGCTGATTGTAATTGATAAATATAAATAAAGTAAAAAAAAAGCCCATGTACACAGAGTAGTATGATTCGTAAGAAACGATTCAATTTGACAGAGTTTATTGGGTGTGTTACCCTGACGACGCGGGATGGTCCACCGCACCTGAAATATAAGGAATACCGAACAAGCGTGGTCAGTATGCCGGGCGGCCTTTACGCGTACCTAGAGGCACTCGATGATACGTGGGAAACCTATACACCTCACGACGTTTACAACGATGAGGAGGTGGAGTACGCTGAAGGATCGAGTAATTTGGCGTACTACGCGATGGACACACGAACAGCATCCCGGCGCAACATCAGACATATACGGTGTACGGCAATTTTTCGCGACGAGAGCTGCGAAACACTACTGCGGGATGACCGGGGCGAGAAAGATATCAGCGTACAGCTGATCGGTGGCGATATCGACGAGTTCGATGTTGTTAAAGACTGGTGTGATCTACTGGCACCAGCTGATTGTAATTGATAAATATAAATAAAGTAAAAAAAAAAACCCATGTACACAGAGTAGTAGTATGATTCGTATCTCTAACCCTACACTACGATGGCAAGATGCTGATGCAACCTCGAACGGTGTACGTCAGCAGATCGTTGCAGCTCCCAACGCAACACCTCTATACCGTTTTTTTTTTTGCCGTATTATGGATACGCCGTATTTCATGATCGGCGAACGAGCGACCAGCAATACATGATTTATTTTACGATTAAAACTTTTCTATCCGATTTTCCACGCATAACGATCCTACAAGAAAATCGTGACATTTTTGCTGATTCAGCTGTATCGTATAGTATTGTTTTGAAATTAATATCGCCACGGCTGTAAGACGTCCGTGGACCGGTCGTAGTCTGTTTTAGTTCGTATCACGACGTCTTGGCAGTTAGTCTGATCACTTACAGCAATCACCAGCTCTAAAAAAAAAAAAAAAAAAAATGTCATCCTTGGAAAATATTCGCGATTGATCCTTGATTTTGTCAAGACACGTCGCTTGAATACACCTAGAAACCCGAGATTATTTTCACCGGCGTGGTGTCGCGAGTTAAGATATTTCGGTTTTCGCACGCTAACGCGAAGATTGAAAAGTGTCTTTACCCATTGTACTCTGCGTGTGCTAGCCAGGGGTCATGAAAGAGGATATTTCAAAAATGATCCGTACATACTCTCGTTAGCCGTAGCATGTATCAGTAAACGCGGAGTGCGCGATAGCCACATCACCGGGGCTATTATAAGCGATCATCGATTCCACGAAGGTATGTATCTGCCACTTACCAGTAATAGCTCCTACATAATTTACCTTTAAAAAAAAAATAAATAAATAAATCAATTTTACAGGAATTGACGCGCTTTCACCACGAAGTCGCCCCCGAGGAGGAGGAGCAGTTGCTCTTAGGGTGCCTCGATCATATAGAGGAGGTTTATCCGGAGCCCAGCACCAGCACGGCGACGGTGATGCAAAGTGCTAACGGTAAAACATACTTTTTTAAAAAAAAAAGATTACGTCTAATTTACGTTTATTAAAAAAAAAGTAGCAGCGTAGGAACGGCGTGTATGAGGTAGCGGATGCCGACGAAGCGGCCGATGCATTGGCGGGGTGCGATGGGGATCCGAGCGCAGCGGCTACCCTCGAGGAAGGTAACGTAGAAAGAAATATTCTGTAACATTTAAAGGCCTCTTTGTCGAAACTGCTAACTTTAAAAAAAAAATGTAGGGGATGATGATGATGATGAAAACCTGTTAGACGCTGTATTCTCATACATCGGGTCGATGTTTAATCCTCGAGAGGAATGAGAAGTCAGTATGAGCCGAATACTCTTTCTTTTTTGTTTAATAACAAAAAACAATAATAAAAAAAACTCTTTTTTTTTTTCCAAACGCTAGGTGCGGTGTATGTGGACACACAGTACCAGACTGGTGGGGGACCCCTTCTTCGGTCTCACAGTTGTGTCGACGAAGACACCGACAACGAGGGAGCCAGCGATAATGACGTGTTACCACCAGGGTATAGGTTTACCGTACAAGCCGAAACGACACGACGCATAAATCGGTTTTGATTAGACGGACGCGAGATAACAATGGCTATCCGGCAGCCACCCCAAGATCCTGATACGGATACGGTATCTTGGCTGCAGGGTGCAGTCCGGGATATACACGCGTACCTTACAAGCTCGTGTGCCGCGCAAGATTATATAGGTCTGACGATTAAATCAGACAGTTTTGCGTGCGGGGCCGCGTGGCTGTCGTACAGGCCGGCTCGAGACTTCCTTGAAAACGACGTGTGGGGTGTAATATCATCCGTCGCGCAGAGCGCCCAGACATTCCAAATAGACAGATCTTTTGTCATAGTGTCGTGTATAGTGGAAGTACCGCGGGGTACAGGGCGCGTGCAATTAGCGCACGAGTTTGTAAAAAAACACTCTATACTTGCCATAATAAACACCGATAATCTCTGTCTACCTAGATCGCTCGCTGTGGCGATGGTATACGCCGAACGCGGGGAAGTACGCTCTGGGGAACTGCATGAGAGATGGAACGCTGTACGGCGTCAACGGGGCAAATTTCAAAAACAATTAGCTCTCGAGCTTGTGGCAAACGCCTGTGTAGACATACCGCCCGATGGCTGCGGTATTCGGGAAATTGATAAATTTCAAAGACACCTTGCTCCGGATGGTATAGCCATTGTTGTTTACGAGTTCGACAGTATAGGCAGCGGTGAGAAACCGCTGTACGACGGATCGCAGATAGTCGATAGCGCGTACGGTTCAGGGAAACCACGACAAACTCTCCGCATCCTGTATTATAATAATTCGCAGCATTGTTAGCCTATTTTAAATATGCGGGGTGCGGTCGGTAGTCGGGGTTTTTGCATACCATGTAACAGATCTTACACGCACGAGGCACAGCATAAGTGCTCAAACAAATGCGCTAGATGCTTCGGAAAACCACCTTGCGATTCGGCTCTCCCCACATTGCATTGTCGCGAGTGCCATAGGTACTTTTTCGGTCAAAGTTGTTTCGATAATCACATAAACACGCTGATTAGTACAGTAGGACCTCGATTTTATGGAACTAGATTTTATGGACAAATCCCACTTCCTTGCTAACACTTTATAGAGTGGGGCGCATGTGCGCTCTCCCAGCCAGTACCGTAACTACACTCTAGTGTCGGCAGCCATCCGGGCCCGTTTATAGTTTAAGTTGTACATACATATTATAAATACGTACATATATTGTAAGTTATAAATGACCAAAGAAAAAAAACGTAGAAGTTTAACAAACAAGGAGAAACTCAATATTCTTGATAAGCTCGACGAAGGCATTTGTCCTACAGAAATTGCGAATCAGTTCGGTGTCTCGCGCACGTGCGTTTATAACCTCAAAAGTAGCAAAAAAAAGTTTGAAGCTCTCGCGACCTCATCGAATGCTCAGCTTTTACAAGCAAAGAGTTTTAAAACAGCAAAAGATAAAGTTTTAGATGATGCTGTATACTTGTGGTTTTGCCAAAAAAGATCCCTCGACGAACCGATCAGTGGCCCATTGCTTTGTGAGAAAGCACGTGTACTCAATGAGAAACTGAACGGAGATCGTTCAGATTCATTCAAGGTACGTAAGATTTTGTTGTTTAAGTTGTTAATAAAGGCTCATAAAGAGTTTTCCTTTACGACTTATCTTGATTTTTTCGTGTCGTATATGTAATAGATTGTAGAATAAAAATGATAATATTCAGTTTATAATTGAATTTATTTACAATTAGTTATTTACAATTTATAGTTCAATAATTTGATGTTAATGTTACTTCTTTAATTTTTTTATGTAGGCGAGTAATGGTTGGCTCAATAATTTTAAACGACGCCATGGTATTCATCATCTCTGTGTACAAGGCGAAAGGCTATCAAGTGACACAGAATCAGCCAATACATTTGTTGACGAGTTCAAACGATTCGTCGAAGACAATGGCTACACGAAGCGCAATATTTACAACGCTGATGAATCAGGACTTAGTTGGAGATCTCTACCACGAAAAACTTTGGTCTGTAGTGACGAAAATAGTGCACCTGGACGTAAAGTCAATAAAGAATGAGTTACAGCAATGTTTTGTGCCAATGCATCGGGCTCACACAAGATTCCCATTCTCATTATTGGGAAATACAATAAGCCGAGATGTTTTAAAAACGTCAGGACTCTTCCCGTAAGCTACAAAGCATAATCGAGTGGCTGGATGAACAGAGAAATATTCTTGGATTGGTACGATTTATGAAAAGAATTTTTTTGTTATTGATATTGATCTTAGATTTAGGATTTTGTAATAAAACTTAAAAAACAGTTCATCAATCTGTTATGTGCTATTGCTGTTCCATTGACTGTTTTTCTACCACAGGTACACCAACGAGTTTATCCCTCTGGTCAAGGCGAAGAAAATGAAAACAAACGATCATGGTAAAGTGTTATTACTTTTAGATAATGCCCCGTCACATCCTCCTGTGAATGTACTAAACGCTGTCGATGAAAACTTTTCAGTTAAGTACTTGCCACCGAATGTCACCGCTATTGTTCAGCCAATGGATCAAGGCGTGATCGGAACGGTCAAGAAGTTACATCGTAAACATCTTGCTCGCAGGTTGCTATTGGATCATGAAGGACGAGTCGAAGATTTTCTAAAGGCATTGACTCTTAACGATTGCTGCTATATGATTTCCGATGCGTGGGAAGAAATCACAAACTCAAATTTATCAAAAGCTTGGAAAGTCTTTTTCCCACATGCAACTATACCTGATAACGATGAAGATGCTGCCAACAAGGTCGCGAATCAAATGCAAGAAGCTGTGATCGACACACGCTTGATATTTGTACAGATGCCAGAACTCAACGTGTCGGAAACGGAAATAATTTCGTGGATCGAAGAAGATCATAATCTTCCTGGGTGGGAACCGTTGAGCGATGAGGCTATTATTGGAATGGTCGAAAAAAACTACACGATCAGCTCATCGCCGTCAAAGGCTGAAGATCAAACAGAGTCTATATCACGTTCTCATGGAGCATGCCATATCCTGTCTGCTATCAATGATGTTGCCGTATGGTATGAAAAACACAAAAATTGTAGACTCGAAGATCAGACAGTTCTGGCAAAGATACGGAATATCTACGGAAAACGAAAAACGTTTCTGTTATAGATTCATTGTTCCTATCTTATAATTTTGTTTGAAATATTCAGATATTATGTATTTATGCTTCGTTATATATTGTGATATTCTTCTGTTCGCTTTAAAAACACTATAAACAATAAAGAGTTTTTGAATATATTTTGAGAATTGTTTATTTATATTTTAGTATTACGAGTCTTGCAAAATATTGTAGTAACCTTTTCAATTATGTTAACTTGTCAAAAAGAAATAGAAGCTATGTAAATAAAAAAATTAGCTGAATACCGAAATAAAAATCAATTGAAGGGATGCCACGACCATATGATACGGTACTGTCCACAAGCGCGCGAGTGGCTATACGCAGTGTAGGGGCGGAGCTTAGGGAACCTCGATTCTGTGGACTTCCGGTCCCGACTTGTCCATAAAATCAAGGTCCTACTGTAAACAGAAGGGAAAAGAAAACAGTGTGTGCCAGACCGTTCGTAGCTGTCCGCAGTGTCGTAGACCTCTTCAAGGAACGTCTCGTAAGCACTCTTGCGG